GACTTTCTGTGAGAATGTAGGCAGTTTGCCAGTGTCAGAAGAGAAGAAAGTCACCTGTGAAAAAATTATTTCCTTATAAAGGTTAAACTATAAATACCATTAAAAATCAATTGAACTTGACATCCATTTGTCATTTAATACAGTGATTGTCATTAGCCAATAGAAAAATAACTATTTTATTCTGTAACTAGTTATTCATTTTCACCAATTGGTTGGGTATATAAAATTTTAAAAATTAATTTCTATCTCTCAGCAGGAGAGCTTATAAAATTCAACCATTTTCCACATATTTGTGTGAGTGAGCATTCTCAGTTTATTTTTGCTTTAAATCAAAATACAGAAATAAACTCAACATGGAACTAAATTTAAAACTGTATTTATCTGGTGTTGAGTCAAATATTGGAAACCTTTGTATAAATAAAAAAAAATTCAACATTGAAATAAAGTTTCAATATGATCACAGAATATTAAACATCTTCCAAGTAGCAATTTATTTCATTTAAAATGTTACTTATATTCAACAAATTTTGTAAAATAAATTTAAGATGAAATCTTAAATATAACAGTAAGCTTGCTGAATTAAATCTTTTAATTCTTATAAAATTCCTAAATAAAATGTTAGTAATTATTTTCTAATTTGAGCTTATAATTTTTAGAGTTTTCATAATCAAAGGTAGAATAAAAAATTTTAATTATAATTTAATTATAATTATAAATTTTAATTTGGAACGGGGGGCAAAAGTTATCATTGTAGTTGTGGCAAATAATGAATAAATCTAAAAGGAATATTATTATAAGTGGTTTATTAAATTACCCTGGAAATTCACCACACAGTTTTTTGTTGTTGTTCAACAGGATTCAAAGACCAAAAAACATTAAAAACTATTAAAATAACATAACAGCAAGTACAATCACTGATATTCAAAATGATGACTTACAGTAATAAAAAAAGGTTAAATTATATTGAGCATACACTAAGAAGGCGGGGGGGTAATATATAACATTTTCACCAATAATGGTAAACATATGTAAAAAAAAGTTCTGATGTATAAAGGGGGAAATATCAGTTATATAGAACACTAAGTAACGTGGAATACATCATTACATGATGATGGCCTGTAAATGTGCATTACACATACACATACACACTCTCTCTCTCCCTCCCTCTCTCAGAGAGGGTATGTGTGTGTGTGTGTGTGTGTGTGTGTGTGTGTGTGTGCAAGTGTGCATACATAGACACATTTATATATATAAACACCCACGGATAAGTATACATATGCATTATATATAATGTATACATACACATATGTATATATAGGTATATAGAAAAAAGATCAGTACTTTCGTCCATTTAAGTCCTCTCTCTACCAAGGCAGATTACAAACCTCTTACCACATCAGCCAATAGTCTTTATGTGTCGCTATGGCCAAAAAATTCATCACCTGGTATCCAAACTTGTGGTAACGAGCTTCATGGCCAAAAGACACACAATAAACTGCATCCAAAGCTTTTCTAGTTTAGCGAAGTCTACCAGAGTTGGCACTCCTCAAGAACTTGGGTCACCTTCATGTTCCAATGAGGTATGAGAGCACACTGTCAACGTAGGATATGTTGTGTATATCTATAGATATATATATACTGATATTATAATCATCTGTACCTTATATCTAAACATATCACAAATATTTGTATTTTATATAGATATAGAAACATGTTTTCGTACAAAAAAAAGTTAAAATCTACAGATATTTCAGCTATAAATTGAAAAGATATGTTAGTTATATAGAGGATAATGAATCTCTAGCTATCATAGCTTTAAAGCAATATGACCTGCAGACATTATCACAGGTGCCAGGAGGGGGAAAGCCAATTTGCTTCAAAACTATCTTCATGTGCTCATATCTACCTCTCCTCTCTGAAATTTTTCCCATAGGCTTCAATTTTCTCCTCTGTGAACACTGACCCAAAGGCAAGTAATTCTGTATAGGATTTTTTAATTGGTAGATCTGTTTTAAAGAGTTCAAGACAAAATGTTCCATCAGTGTCCCAGTTAGTCGCTGAATTATCAGGAAGTACAAAGATGAATTATCCCAAAGAGGACACAGAAGACACTAAGGCTACCTAAAAGTTTCTTCAAATATACCGTGCCTCAATTTCCATCTGGGATTAATGGTATAAAAATATCTCTTCTCTCCATACATCACAGGGAAAGCTGGCAATGGATTAATTAATATCCATAAAAGATATTTATGGATATTAAAGAGATTTTTGATGTCTCAGAGAAAAGATGCCAAAGCATTTAAAACAAAACAAAAAATTAATATTATCACTTTATTGGGGTGGGGAGGAATTCTAAGTACCAGGAATACTTTAAGTACTCCATTTTGCAAGGAATATTGATTGGTTGTAGTTATTTTTATTTTTAAGCACAAGCTATTTCATGTCTAAACAAAATTCTTACTTAGACTAACTTAAGACACAAAGACCACTTCCTGGAAATAGCAATCTATAATTCTTAGCCAACAGGGAACAAGAACCCAGCATAGCTCTAACCAGAAAGAATTTTAATGCTATAGACATTCTGACTAAATGAGGCTTATTGGTTATAACTGCAAAGGTAACCACAAGCACAGTTGAAAAGAAGAAATATATTATAGTAAATTAATAACGCACACAAATTTCAAGATTTTCTGGCTATTAGCAATCAAACAACTGCTACCACCAGAGGTCTAATTTTAAGGAATTTTGATTCAATGCTTCTGGGTCATAACCACAAATAAGTGTGCTTTATCGAGGAGGTTTATAAGCCTTCATAGCTTATCAGAAGTATTTTTCTTCATCAGAAAAAATTAATTTCAGCACCATCACTTAGTAGGTCCAACTGTGCAAAAAATTACAACTTATCTGGGGACAGGTTTGGGGGATTATTGTTACACTAAAAAGCAACGGCAGTTAGCAGGCCCTTAGTTATAAATCTTTTAACAATTAGGAGTAACTGCCAAAACCTTATTTCAGTAAGGCAAAGGGAAATGATGGTGGAAAAGAAACAAAAAGTCTTACATGAGATAACCCAAAGCAGAGTGTGCCCACCATACCAATCCACATCTATACCTTTGCAATCCAACTGCACAGGAGCCAGAGTTTTAGATGAGTCTAGAAGTACAGGACAAGGATCAAATGAGGAGGAAGAGAGTGCCAGACTATTGGTGCTTCCTCTAAGATTTCCATGTGATCACCTCCTCTTTCCTACACTCTCTCCCTTAACAATTTCATTCATACTAATAGCTTCAACTTTGGCCTGTACACAAATGACTCTCAAATCTATAAAGTGATATATTGTCATTATGTCTTGAACATCATCTCTTCAAGAAACTTTCCTTTATCTCTCAATTGGTAATAATCCTCTTTTCCTTTGAATCTCACAAAGCACTTTTTTTACACCTCTCCTACACTTAAGATTTATTATATTGTATTATATTTATTTGTATATGTGTTATATACTAGACTGCAAGTTCTAAGATAATAAGGAAATCACATTTTATTTAACTTTTAAACCTCTCTTCCAACATCTAACACAGTTCTCTACTCAGAGTATGCATTTAATAAATATTTGCTTTTGACAATCAGTCAACATGCAGTTATTAAATGCTTACTAAGTGCCAAGCCCTCTGCTAAGTATTGGGAATACAAATACAATGAAAAGGAAAAAGTCGTTGCCCTCAAGAAGCTTACAATTTAAAGGAGGAAGACAATATGTAAAAGGAAGCTGAAAAGGCATAGGGGAGAGGAGGCTATTTCAGTATGGTGAGAAATGAAGAGGTGGCTGGCCTGGGCATCCTCCTTAAATAGAGGTTCTGAGAGGAGCCATCCATTCAGAGGAAGGGGATGTAGCGGCTGGGGGGTGGGAGGTAGGGTAAATCAAAGTGTGATTTCCAGGACTGAAGTGATCTTCCAAGATGAAAAGTTTTGTTGAATGAATGAATGAAAGAAAAATAAAGAGACACAGGTTGCAATGATGGATTAAGGAGAAAAACACAGGATCTGAAAAGGAAAACAAAAATGAGAGACAAATAGAAGCAAGAAAAATAGATGACAAGAAGGGCAAAGGTCGAAATAAAAGATAACAGGGAAGAAAACAGACTTAATACCTGGAGAATAGATATGATGAGGTAAAGTATAGAATCTTCAATCTGGAAAGATCATTTGGGAAATAAGTTCAGAATACAGGGGGCTTAAATCCAAAACAAAACAAAACAAAAAAATCGACCTCTTTCTACAGGAAGCCACGAAGACATAGGACTGACACAAGGTTTTGAAGACCCACTCACCAAAGAACCTCGATATAGAGAATGAGTCAAGCGAAGATGAAATTTGACTTGGGAGCAAGGTTAATTCTCTGCTGGTTATACTGTGAAATAAAGGAAACCCTCTTGAATTATCCACTCCTAACATGCACCTTTTAAATACTATGGTGAAACCAACCCAGAAATGGGAGGAAGTTCTATTCTTCAGATTATCAAACCTTTCCAAAAGGTAAAGCTTCCTAAAGCTGAATGTTATCCTAAGGCAACAAGCATTTTGAGGCTTCTTTGCATATCACTGCATTTCCTAATTGGGCAGCCTTCCCTATATAAACATTGGAAACCTGGGAACCCATTGCCCTTTTCTTCTATTCCCTACACAAGTTACCTTTTCAAATAGAAAAGTAGTGTCTATGAAATATTAATCTCAGCCTTCTTTCCTATTTCCCTCAGAACACTCCTCAAAATCATAGTCATGAAGGTAGACCTTGGTAAAGAAGACCTAGTACACATGTAATCACAGTCTCCGTGAATCTTTTGGCACAATTGTTTTTAGTTACAGAATCAATGCAGTGAAAGGAAATAAGTGAGGTAAAGGAAAGGACAAAAGAAGTATAAACAATTGTAGAAAACAGAATGTTCCACAGAACCTAAGTGGTAATGCTAGTAAGGTTTTCAGGGTACCATTTCAGAACCAACCTCATTCTTCCTTTTTCCTTATTCCGCTGCCCAACACGACTAGTTGATTTGATGTACAGGTGCCGATGCAACTCATCTATGAGAACCAGATGAAGGTTCATCTTCTTGCTGTGAAGCTCCAGTCTCAGGTCACTCAGCCCCTCTACTTGAAGAAGGGGGCCCTCTAAAGAATCTACTGCTGACACCTGGAAAAGGAAACCACAGTTACAAGTAAGTAGTTTTCCAACATCATGAATGAAAGACATGGGGAAAAATACCTCACCAAAAAGCAATTTGTAAAGAGTCCATTTGAAGCAACTCTGAGATTCCTCCTCACATCCTTCAGAGAAGCAAAGTTGACAAAAAAGGAAAATTACAAATGCTAGAGGGGCTAATGGAACATAGGCACACTGATACACTGCTACTGTTAGAGCTGTAAATTAGTCTAGCCATTCTAAAAAGCAATTTAGAACTATCAAATCAAAAAGTCAAAACAACAAACATTTATAAAGCACTTACTATGTGCAAGAAACTATACTAAACCCTAAGGATTAAAAAAAAACCAAGATATTCACCAACTACATATGTACAATGTATATACAGAATAAGTATAAGTAACCTCATAGGGGAGACAATAGCACTGATGAAGGCTGGGAAAGGCCTCTTGCAGAAGAGAAGATTGTCTTGAAATAATCCAGGGAAGCCATAAGGCAGAGAACAGGAGGGAGAGCATTCCAGGCATGGGAGACAGTCAGTGAAAAGGATCGAATTGGGAGACGGAAAGTTGCATGCAAAGAACAGCAAAAAGGCCAGTGTCACTAAATCATAAAGTATGCGGAGGAGAGCAAAGTAAAGCATGAAAAGGTAGGCTCCCAACAGGCAGTTTTGGTCATAGCTCCCTGTCATCAATTTCTTCCACAGCTCTCTTCCCATTCTACATAATGTAACTCCCCTATTTCTCTGCTGGTAGTTTTCCATGGCTCCCAAAAGGTTTTGCAGCTAAGCCCTTTTTCTGTAGAAACTATATGTAAAATACCATCATTAGGCCTACATCACCAAAGAAATCAAAGAAAAAAGAGAAAGACCCAAAAGCACAAAAATATTTATAGGATCCCTTTTTGTAGTGGCAAAGAACTGGAAACTAATGGGTTATCTTCCCATTGGCAAAAGGCTGGACAAAATTATGGTACACAAATCTACTATTTGTGCCATCAGAAATTATGAACTAGAATACTATTGTGCCACCAGAAATCATGAAGGAGATAATTTCAAAGAAATGTGGCAAGATTTATATGAACTGAAAAGTGAAGTAAGCAGAACTAAGAGAATAATGTAGAAAATAATGACAACATTGTAAAGACAAATGACTTTCAAAGATCTGTGAACTCTGATTAACACCAAGACCAATCACAATTACAGAATAACAAGGGATGCTTCATTCGTGAAAATTGATAGAGCTGGGGAGTGGGTAAATGACCTCTCTTGTCCAATGTTGAGACTCCCTTAGCTCTTCACCTCTTAAATTTTTGCCTTTCATATGTATATGTTATGGCTAAAGGCCAAACTCTGGCTAGTGGCCACCTAAGAGGAGAACATGGATGGAGCCTATTTGCTACCTAACCCCTGAGAGAAACAGATTCAGAGTGAAGAATGAAACACATTTTTGGACAGGGTCAGCCAATTCTGGAATTTGATTTGCCTAACTATGCATATTTGTTACAAGGATTTTGTTTCCTCTCTCTATTTTTTTTCTTATGGGTAGGAGAGAAGGTGGGAAGGAGAGAAAACAGTTTCGTTCATTAAAAAAATTAAGGAAATTTTTTTAAAGGACAACAAAAAAAGTCTATTTCCATGTTATGCCATGCTAGGCATGTTAGAGTAATTCAGAAAGACTTAGGCCCTGCCCTTTGGGGGTTTAAAATCTAAGAAAGACAATTCCAACACAAACTATATGGACAGAGAAAAATGCAAAAGGACAGTCAAGAAATCTACTGTCTATGAATGGATACAAATACGGAAAGGACCCTTAACAAATGGAACTATTCTATGCATTCGCCCAAGTATATCTGAATTTCATGTCTCATACTTCAAAATTCAGAAAACACTTCCACGTGATAAACATATTAATCAATGTACAAAACTTTATTTAAACAACTAGCCCAGGGAATAGAATAAATAGAAGAATAATTCATGAATTTGCTAATCGTTCTCCTCTTAGGTGGCCACTAGCCAGAGTTTGGCCTTTAGCCATAACATATACATACGAAAGGCAAAAATTTAAGAGGTGGAGAGCCAAGGGAGTCTCAACATTGGACAAGGGAGGTCATTTACCCACACCCCAGCTCTATCAATTTTCATGAATGAAGCAGCATTTGAATAAGGAAAGATGAAAGAAAAAGAGCCCAGCAGGTTAGAGAGTACATACTGCTAAGCATGCCAAGTACATAAAGAAATTTTGGAAAAGCTTTGGAGACAACTGATTGCAGAAGGTGGAAGAACCCAGGTAGTCTAAGGCACCCTGGCTGGAAACACAAATATAGACTCTATGTTGCAAGTACTCCCCCTTAAAGGAGAACTATAGAAGGAAAAGGAAACACTGGGGATGTGAAAAGGAACACAGCTAAAAGATGAAAATCATTTTAATACCCTACAGTGGCCTAGTACAAAGGAGCCTAATTTGAATATACTGGATAGAATTATGCCAAAATTTTATGTGCACTATAAAGTACACTAGTGACCAAAAATGAAATCAACAAGAATATAAAGCATTCCCTCGAGTCTTGCACTTGATTCTAGAGTTCTAAGATGACAACCAGCACTGAAGCCAGTGATCCAGAAAAGCTGATGCATCAAGCATTAATCCCAACTAAGGAAATAAGGCAAAAAAGAAAGCAGCCCATCTATAAACATGATCTCACCTCTCCTGTCCAGTTACCAAATCCAGGCCACTGCATCTCCACAACAGATTTCCCATCCATTCTCACTTCTCTCTTCCCATTGCCACCATTCTCATTTCAAATGACCTGGATCATTACAAGAGCTTTCTTACAGATATTCCTCCTTCAGTTCATGCGTCATACGACTTCATACAAAGTACATACAGATTTTGTCTCTTACACAAAGTCCTGTCACTCCTCTGCCTCCCTACTAGCTACCAGTTCAATTTCAGATCCCTCTGCCTAATGCATAAGAACTCTACAACCTGACATTAAGCTGACTTTCAGTCCAATCTCCCACTGCTCCCCTCTACACACTGTGTGCTAAAGCAAAACTAGATTACTCTATGCTTCCCCAACACATCTGGTACTCTCCTCTTTCTATGCCTTGATCCCCAGTCTTCAGTGCCTTTTATTCTCTCTTCCTTTATCACTTCTGATTTCCTAACCACCCTTTAAAGCCCAGCTCAAATGCTACCTCTTCCAGATCCTTTCCATGATCCACCTAGCAGCCCAAAACTACCTTCCCCCTTGGACCTCATACAGCAGTTTGTTTGTTTTACAAATCTCTAACACATTTATCACATAATACTCTGAATTTTTCTGTGATCTCTATTGCTGTATATCACATTTTATCTTACATTCCTGGACTATAAACTCCATGAGTGCTGGGACTGCACTTTAACTTAAAAAATGTATTCTCTCCTCCAGTGCCTAGTTCAGTGCTCTTCACATGGTAAGCACTTACTAATAATAAATACTTGTGGAATTAATATTTTGTTTTGCAAAGTGTTCTCTATTCAAATGTCATTAACAAAGACATTTTCCTTAACATCAGAGACTATGAAAAAGATAAGCTCCCAGAGATCCAGGACAGATAATCCATGAGCCAATTCTGCCTTATGAAGCCAGCCAGTTTGTCTTTAGTCTGACTTGCCATTGCCCCTGGGCTACTTGCAAGCTGTCAACATCTCCAAAACGAAAATTCATTCAGTTTCACAAAATGATCAAACATTCCCCAAGGAGAAAGAGAACAACAAATACGTTTGTCCTGGTATTCTAGAATAAATTTTAACCCATGCATTGGGCAGAAAAAGGAAGATGCATTAACCTTCAGTGACATCTAGATCCAGAAAATGAAAAAATGATTTGATAAACTGTCCCATCATGCAGCCTTATCCCTTATGATAATCAAAGCTAAATGAGATTTGGAGCTTTAAAGTCACCCCCTGAGCAGACACATGTAATTTGTTTGGAGGAATCTGCAAGATTTTTACCTTCATGTGCTCATGATCCAAATAAACAATTATGTGATAAAACACAACCTCCAAAACTACCTAATGACTGTAACAATTTATTCTAGGAATGACAAAAACCCAGCAGGTACTATTAGTAACACAGTCCATTTCATGATCCATACAACTTATGTGAATAGAGCGTGTAAGCCCATGTCTCTGCATTTCTTTAGAGATAAAATAAAATGCTACAACATTTCTAAAAGACCAACATTTTTCAGTCTAGAAAACAATGTGAAATTCTGTAGGAAAATGTAACTGAACTGTTCCTATCTTGTGACACAGCTATCCAACTAACAGGAATATAGCACACAATGATAAAAGACAATAGCGAAAAAGCCGTGTGTACAAAATACTCATAAAAGTAGTCTTTAAGATTACAAAAATTATCAAAACAGATGTCCTTCAACTCGGGAATAGGTAAACAAAGTATGATATATATATTTACATATATATGTCATTGAACATGTTATTGCAATATAAGAAACTCAGAACATAAAGAACTCGGAAAAACATAGCAAGGCTTGTATAAACTAATGCTGAATGAAGAGCAGAATCAAATTAATGTGCACAAGGACTACAATAATGTAAAGAAAACAATAGTATAAGGCAGCCATACTTAGACTGATTGAAATAACCAATCTCAGTACCAGAAAATGAAACATCTCCATTCTCTCAATAACGATGAGGAATTATGGGGCAAAATATGGCACATCCTGTCAAACACAGTCCCTTTGCTATTATCGTTCTTTAACTGCTTTTATTTTTTACATGGGGGAGGAAAGAGGGTAGGAGTGGATGGGGGAGCATATTAGGAAATAATTGTGTATAAAAACAATAGGCATAAATTTTCTAAAGCAATTATCAGAAAGGTTGCCTCGCTGAAACAACCATAATGGCATATGTCATTAAAACTGTCAATAGCTTAGAACCTTTTTCTATCAGCTGATGAATGCCATCCACAACTAGTTATTT